CTCTTATATACATATGCCTGTTTATGAATTTGTTTCTTGAGCCTACCCAGACTAACACAAGTACTTAAAAGTGTGAGATCCCATTCCGTCTTCAGACCAGATAGTCTGTTATTCAATACAAAAGAACCAAGAAAACACATGGAAATGTGATAGCATTTATAAGGGCCTCATGACATTTTCCCCCCTTTCTAGCAGATGGAAAAGGATATAAAAATATTTACCTTGCATTTGGGCATATACAGTATTCTCTCACTCCTTTGTGGAAATGTTCATTCATTTACATCTATTTTGCAATGAACTAAATTCGGCACTAACCGAAGCAAGCCAGAGGCGTAAGTTGATCAAAGCCCACACTAGAGTCTTTGTCACTACACACGCTCCTTGTTCAGCTTGTGTAGGTATTTAAGCATTTGCAAATTGGTAACAAGGCACTCCAGTTTTTTCAATCGCCTTTCTGAAGTTGAGTGTTTTCCCCATTTCAGATTTGCCTCCTTTCTATCTTCCTTGATTTTCTTGGATAGACATAAATTCAATATATGTTGTTTCCTATATTGCAAAGCAAAGCAAACCCACTGCAGGCAAGCTGCTTTCCCCCCAACGTGGACCTGTAGCGCAGAAGAGAACTGGACTGTGAGTTCCCGGGGCGGTAAATGTTTATGGAAGCTGCTTGTTACACCTTTCTCCCATGGATTAGGCTGGCGGGTTTGAACTACCTGGATTTCAGTTGGAAGCAGAGTGTCTTAACTCCTGACGCAACGAGGGTCCTTCCTTCCCAAATCAGTATACACACATTCATTTTGATGTAAACAATACATTACCACATACATCATACCATTACACAGGCTATGTAAGTCAAGGAAACTCCGAGGACCAAATATCTCCCTTGAAAAATGGACTAACTCTGTAATAAGCTGCCTGCAGAAATTATGCATACTCACAACTGAACACTTAAGGATGCTGTCAGTTTGTTGCAACCTCTGGAATCATCAGAACGGGTACATTTCTTTAAAACCCTCCTATTTTCAAAATTCAATATTTCCTCATTTCTACTACTTATTGGTTTAGCTATTCCTGTTTCAATAGCACATTGCTTCATCATTTTTTCTTCAATGTTCCCATTTTGTCATTCCCTCCTGCAAAGCCGTGATCTATTTGAATTGCCATTAAAAGAATTACCTCTCTTTAGTATTTGATGCTCATATCAGGCACAAAAGAGGTCCCCCATTATCTAAAACCTCTGCATTTCCTATCCTGGACTATATCGGTAACCCCAAATATTGGAAGCCAGTGCTAGTAGTTGTGGTTAACTCTAGTGTCACAAGGTGGGGTCTGTCCTGGATCCTTACTATCTGAATGGCTTCAAGCAATCGGTTAACATCTGTACTTCCACTTCTTTGTGGATAATGAGTTCATTATTGGTTCATTAATGGGTTCATATGAGGATTCAATGAGCTAATCGACATAAATAATGTAGAACAATGTTTGAAGCAAAGTGTTCAAAAATGTTAGCAATAAAAATGTTATCAATTTTGTAGTAGTTACATGATCTGTTGTCAATTTGAGACTTAAGAGTTGAGGGGTGGAGTTTAGCCTGTCAATCAAGTCGCAGCTTTATGACCTAATTTGGAGGCGCTAAGGAGATAAGTAGCTTGCTGGAGTGATTAACGGGACACATTCTCACTCCCTGCGAGACATTACTGATGAAGCACCTGATGGAGCTACGCTGATGCATCCAGAGCCCTGGGAGCTGAAGGAGCCACACCGAGACCCCTGACAGCACTGAGATGCTTCTACTGCCACTGCATCCACAAGACTTTCCACCCCCTAGCCTATGGTCTTTCTGCATTCTGCATGATTGCATGTGTTGCGTGAGTCTGAAGAGGACTTTATAGATTGGTATCAGACAGATGGGCTAATATCAGACTTACGGACTTGGTCTGGGCTTTGCTGGGATGCTTCCTTAATATTCAATTGCTCTTGTACATAAAGCTCTTTCTTATACACATGTAAGATTTGTTTGTGTAGTCAACCCAGACTAACACAAATCCCTATAGGTTATGTCAGAAAGTGGTTGTAGTATAATGGAAATAAAACTTGGCTTGTTACCAGAAGTACGGGTTTCTCACCTAGGTTCTGCTATGTATTATATATGCTTTATTGCCATCTGACTTTGAGGTTGGTTAAACAGCATTGGGATAGTCCTTCATAAAATATGAGAGAAAAATGAATGAGAAACAAAATTATAAGCACAGGGTACATTCTGAAGTGCGAATTAATAAATATTAAAACTACATAAGATGTAGGGAGAAATCAAGAATTATCATAGTTGCTATAAATATTAAGAGTGATCGTAAACTAAAAGCTTATCTCTGTCCTTGATTCTGGTGCTATAATGATGAATGGCTCTACCCCTCCTACTGCCAAGGTATTCATTGACTAATAAAGGCTATTTTAGTTTTTATTAGTTATTATTGATTTAGCTTCAGTTCATGGCAATTTTATGTGTTCAAAATAACACACATTGCCTGGCCCTGTACCATCATTAGAGGTAATGAGAGAGAGAAAAAAAATCCAAGCAACAATCAGAATCCTAAACACCAGGTACAACTGACAGAGTACTCTTGGGTACCGAGACACACACCCCCCTTGTTTTGGCAGGGCAGGCAGAGGATTAACCAGGAAAGGCTTCCAAAAGAGATGGTGATGAAGGTGTGTTCTGTAGAATGAACGGGGAGAGGAATAAAGACAATCCTCAAAGACCGGAACTGGAGACTGTAGGCCATTGTCTGATAGCTGACCCTGTTGGCATTCTATGTGGAGTGCTGTGTGTGTATGGGAAGAAAGAACACAAATGTGTTTGGGGATACAATGGCCCAGTGCGCAGCTGATAGCCAAAAGTGCAGTAGTTTGAACCCATCATCCACTCCATACGAGAATGCTGTTCTAACTGATACAGGGTTTCCAAGAGTAAAACTTTATGGAAGCAGATAGTTTCAGGTTTCTCCTGTGAAAAGCTAAGAGCAAAGAAATTCAACTAACGGAAACCATGAGCCACTTTGCATGGTATGGAAGGGCTGCAACGTGTCCTGTAGGAGCCATGGTGGGATTCAGTAATTATAAGTGAGACATCATAGCTTTCCCAAATATGGCTGACATTGGAATAGGTTCTTCTCTTACTAAGAAACAGAATTACTTTGGAAGACATAGGCAACACAATAGAACTTTATTGGAAGCCCCTAGGAGGAAGAAAGCATTACCCAGTGGAACCCGAATCATGCCTATCAAACTTTAAAGGCTCCCATGCACACGCGATTCTTGGGACCTTCCTTTCCATCTGAGGTTCTACAGGGGTACCTAGGGGAAATCTCATCCCGAGCGAGAGATGTGGTCATGATGCTCTGCACAGGTTCTGTCTGGTTGTCCACTTTTGCTCCCTTATCCCGTCTCATTCCTGAGAATATTTACTCCCCTTCTCCATTGCTGGCCGTGAATTTGGTTTGGTTTTTGTTCTCCACCTCACTTCCAACAAGAGTGATCTTCCCAATAAAACTGGCAAGATTCATTATAATTCATTGTTTTTTACTTGCTACTCAAGTAATAGTTTTAAGCATTAATAAAGTTATTTTTAATTATGTGACCATTGAAGGCAAAAAAAAAAACCAAACCCCCAAACCAGCCCCCAAATAAAAAATGATTCCCAACTATCTAAGTCAGTGGTTCTCAACCTTCCTCATGCCATGACCCTTTCATACAGTTCCTCATCTTGTGGTCACCCCCCAACCATAAAATTATTTTCGTTGCTACTTCATAACTGTAATTTTGCTACTGCTATGAATCGGGCGACCCATAGGTTGAGAACCGCTGATCTGAGTGTACCCAGTGTTGTTCGCTCGATTCTGAGTAAGAATTTTTACAAAGATTGTATAAAATCCTATAATACCAATTGCTGGTGTCACCGAGTTGACTGTGCTTCACAGCGAACCCATGGGTCTCAGTAGAACTGTCGCATAGGGTTTTAGACACTGTGATTTCTAAGGAAGTAGATCATCAGGTGTTTTTCCCATACCGCCACTGGGTGGGTTCAAATCACTAACCTTGTTTTTAGCAGGATCGCATTTAACTCCTTGCCCCCTCAGGACTCTTGATAATGATGACCATAAAGACTTCAGGAGCTCAGTGCTTTTTTACCTTCTTCTCATATGCACTTTTGTTGAAGAAAGTAACCATGAAAGACTGGCAGCACTGCACAGAGACTTTGCAGCCCGCAGTCCTATCTGAAGAGCCACGTGTGGGTCCAGTATCTCTGAACTGGGGATTTGATCTATAGACTCTTGGGCTTTCCTGGAAGGAAGACAAGAATCCCCTTTACAGGGGAGCTGCAGTGCCCAAGGATGCCCACGTGTCAGAGAGAAGACATGAAAACATTCCTGCTATACAGGTCATAAATAACACCATGGGGAAAGATATTCTACAGGGGGGAGTAAAAGCATTCTGTATAACTCAGCTTTATACTACCTCATTTATTATTTAGGTTACAATGTATATATTGTAAAGCAAATTTTATTATACCAATTAACTCATTAACAACCTCTAGAGAAAAGCCAGACTTATCTGCAGGCTGGTGTGCTGAATTTTAATAACCAAATAAAGAGGAAAGCAGTATGCCAGGTTCCGGGAAAGACCCAGCAACCCACAAATGGATCTGATGCATGCAGTGTGCCCTAACACAGGGAAAAGTCAACGGTGGATTAAAACAGAAAAGGATGCCCTCAATTCATTTTCCAGAGAGTAGGTTTGGCTAATTTAAACAAGGCTCATTTACGAACTCTTAATTGAACAGAGAATAAAAATATCAGCCTTCACCCTTCCAAATTGGAACAGTGGCTAGTTTATTTGAGAGTCCATACTAGCTCAGCTGGCTAGGACAGCTAGGAGGAAGGGGGCGAAAGGAAGTAATAGGTGGGGGGCAGAATAACTCCAAGACCCTGAGAGTTTTATGCTTAGATGTGGCTCAGGATGTCTTGAATGATTTCTGATGTGGTACCATGTCCCCCAATATCTGGCGTGTGGATTGATTTGTTGCCCATGGAGGCCAAGATGGCGTTGCGAATGCAGGTGGCATAGGAGGTGAGCTCAAGGTAATCCAGCATAATACAACTTGCCAGAAGCATGGCAGTCGGGTTGGCAATGTTCTTCGCGGCTATGTTTTTGCCCGTTTGCCTTGCGCCTGTCTCAAACACCGCGTACTGGTGGCCGTAGTTGGCTCCAGGCACAAGGCCTGCCCCCCGAACCAACCCTATGCAGATATTGTTAATAATGTTGCCATACAGATTTGGCATCAACATGACATCAAATTTCTGGGGCTGGGTGACCAGCTGCATGGTGGTGAAGTCCACGTTCATGGTCTCGAAGGCTATCTGAGGATAGCGCGAGGCCACTTCGGCACAGCACTGGAGGAAGAGCCCATCTGTCAGTTTCATGATTTCGGCCTTGTGGATAGCTGTCACTTTCTTGCGCCCCATCTCGTGGGCCAGCTGGAAGGCGTACTCAGCGATCCGCAGAGACTTGCTCTTAGTCGTAATCTTCAGGGTCTCGACCACTCCGGGCACACCCTCGTGCTCCAGGTTGCTGTACTCACCCTCTGTGTTTTCCCGGATGGCAATGATGTCTATGTCCTTGTGCCGGGTGAGCACACTAGGCAGACTCTTACAGTGGATGACATTGGCATAGAGGTCGAGACACTTCCGCAGCAGGCTGTTGCGGGACAAGTGAGTGGATGGCAGGTTATGGTCTGTGGCGATGTTGCCCTTTAGTGCCACACCATTCCGACGGATGGACAAGATGGCACTGTGGAAGTCCTCGGGACTACAAGTGGAGTCCACTTGTACCTCCTCAAAATCCACAGGCACACACGCATGTGTGAACAAAGACTTGACATGCACCATAAGTTCAGGACCAATTCCATCACCAGGGATCAGAGTCACTGTGTGCCGCCCACCATACTTGGCAGAGGGAGGAATCAACTCATATCCAATATTTGTGGCGGATAGAGGTCGATAAGAAATGCTCCTCTGAGAGGTTGTTTGTCCGAGTAAACAGTCCCAAAGACGACAGAGAACGTTAGGTCGGAAAATATCCTCCAATGTGCCCTTGGTCGACCTCAGCAACGTTAGCGCCATGATCTTGATAGCTGCATGGATTTTAATGTAAATAAAATGGTGTGTTCTTTGTCTTGCTTTGGTGGGATTCTTGATACATAATTCTTGCCTGGGTCACAATAAGAAATTCTCTCTCCTACCTTGTGTTCTATTTTGGCCAAACATTCTACTGTAGTGAGAAAGATAGCTAGGGAGAAAGGAATGCGTTTATACTGTACGAAGTAGACATTTCAGAGTTGGATAAGGATCATCTATTATTAGACTAAGCTCCGTGTGAAAATATTTTTATATATGGCTATTCTTTAATTCTCATTTCCTGGTATTCAATTATCCTGATAACCCTAGACGGTAAGCATTAGCCTCATGTAAATGGTAAACTGAGGCTTTCCGAGTTATAAGTCAGTGTAGCATGATCACACCCCTAGCAAGGGGCCTAGAGACTCCTCTGGACACCTGACTCCCAAAACTGTGTTCTTACCCACTCTGCACTGTCCCCTGATCATGTTTCCATTGTATGTCGTTTACTTATGGACTACGATATCACACACTGAACTTACATTTTCTTAGACTTAGCTTTATTGGCTGTGAAATGAAAAACAAAACGATCGGCTCAGTGAAAATGTCGTCTAAATACAAAAGCACCTCGCACAACGCCCAGAACATCAAACTCCAGACTCCCTGTCCTCGAGTCGAGTCCCGCTTGTGGTGACCCTGGAGAGGTCCGAGGAGAATGGGCCTGTGGACTTCCGAAGCTGTGATCGTTCCTGGACTAAAGAGCCTCCTCTTTCTCCCATGAAATGCTGCTGGTTTTGAACCACTCACCTTGCATGTAGCAGCCTAGCATGTAACACACTAGGCCATCGGGAATCCTTAGAGCTTCTTAATGTTCGATAAATGAATATACTAGCTGAGTCATAAAGTATCGCTATAAAGCCATAGGCATGGGTATCAAACAAAAATATCAACATGTGAAGCCCTGCTTTCTTGAGATGTCCTCCATCTAGGTGTAGATATTTCTGAAGGTGGGTACCATCTTTCTAATCCTTCCCACCAAGAAAGAACGCTGTGCTTTTTGATTTATACCACACCACATCAAGACAGTAGTTTTGGCCACCGCCTTAGAGCCGAATTGAGTTCCTTTCAAATGCTCCTTGGGTTTGGGGAACAAGAGAACCCTAAAGGGGCCAGACTAGGACTGGCGGGTGAATGGGATAAGGTTTCCCAACAAAAGCCTCATAGGAAGCCCTCGCTGTCCTTGAAACAGGGTCGGGTACGTGGTCATGGGGAAAAAACCAAAAAGTGGATGAAGGGAGACGTCGGACAGGGCAAGATATGACAAAATACCCATTTATAAACTATCAAGGGTTCATGCGGGAGGGGGGAGCGGGGAGGGAGGGGAAAAATGAGGACCTAATGTCGGGGGTTTAAATGGAGAGAAAATGTTTTGAAAAACGATGTACAAATGCGCTTTACACAATTGGTGTGTGTATGGATTGGGATAACAGTTGTATGAGCCCCTAATAAAATGTTAAAAAAAGAAAAAAAAAATTCCTCAGCCCAAGCTTCATGGCTTTTTTCCTCACTCATGCAATTTCAAATTTCTTAGAACTTCCTCATAATATATCATGGGAGAAAAATCTATCAAGCCTACCCACTTAGAATCCCCCAGCCAGAAAAATAGTCCCTATAGCTTTCATTGCTGCCCTCTGCCTTGAATTTAACTAGTCTACTAGGTCCCTTCAAGGAACCCTGGTGACACCGTTTGAACCCCCTAGCTGCCGCTCTGCTGGGCGAAAGAGAAGGCTTTCTATCCCATAGATTTAAAGTCTCGGAAACCGATAGGTGCAGCGCCTGTCCATCCTGTCGGGAACTCTGAGCTGGAAACAATTCAACGGCAATGAATTTGCTTTTGGCAAATTTAAAAAGCCACTTTTTAAATTGAAGCTTTTTTGAAAGCATTCTAAAGAAACTGAGGCACAGGCCTTCCTGAGAGACCTTGTCTTTGGCCATCCACTGACTGCAGACACCTATTTAAGTAAGTTTTGTATGGAGTAAACCCATACATGTGTCAAGTGGAACCCGAGGCGTAGCACTAGGTTTTGGCCTACCATCATATACTCGCCGTATATATTCTACATGCACACGTGAACATGCACTGCACAGTTGTATTTTTCTTTCCACCTTCATCTAGCACTTTGTAAATGGTATCCTTACAAAATCATCTCTAAGTAAGTTCTCTTAACTTTGAAGCTGAAATCTCAATGTCCATACCCTATTAGTACCTTATTTGAGGGTTTTTAAAAATCAATTATTGTTTCCTGGTTCATGAACTTTATTGAACAGTCTTACATCTATAAACTGCCTCTATTTTAAATGAGTTTTGAGCAATGTCTATTCCCTGTAACATCCACTACCCTAAAGAAGACAATCAACTTTTCCTTCACCTCCTGTTTCCCTGGCACCTCTTTCTGATGAGTAACCCCTACTTCCTTAGCCCGAGGCAAAGAGGGAGCAATGTTCTGCCACCGTAAATTAAATGTTTTCTGTTCTGGAGTTTCCTAAGTATGGAGTTGTTCTGCATGTACCTTCTGCCTGCCTTGGCTTGTGAGATTTATATATCTTGCTGTGCTCCTCTCTAGTTTGTAAGAAACTACAAAATGATTTCCTACTGTATGGAGATGCAGATACAGATCTATATCACCAGTTTACATCCCCACCTGCAAGGTAAGGAAGTTGCATCTGCTCCACATCCTCACCCACACTCAGAATAGTCACGATTTTAATTGTATCCACTCTTAATGTACGTGGTGGTATCTTACTGTGCTTTTGTTATTTCCCCCCTGACAGTGATCTGAGCATCTTTAAATGCAGCCTCCCAGTTTCAAAGCGATAATCACTCAGAGCTGATGGTTCTAAAAAACTGCCACTCAAACCTCAAAAGCATGTACCATGTTTCCTAAAAGTACCCCAGTTGAGTCAGTGACTTAATTGCAAATTAAGTATTCCCTTAACTATAAATAAAAATACTGTTCCTATTGAACTTTTAGGTACATGATGTCCTTGGTGCAGGTCAGTGGTTGGTGGGGGTGGTGGCTGACTTACTTATGAATATTTCCCAAGGATTCATGTTAAACTCCAAGGACATAAAGATGCAAATGTATTAATGGCTACTGCTTATAGAATCCTCACCACGTGTAAGGTTCTATGCTGGATAGTGTCCGTACATCAGTACAATTCAACAAGGTAAGTATTACTGTAACCATTTTGCATATCAGCAATGTGAGATGACCAGAGGTCCTGGAAATGAGCATTGTTGTGAATGTACAGACAAATAATATCATGAGGCAGGCATTTCTAGGTAAAGAAGTGGGGGGCGTGGGGTGGCAAACCCATGCACACCCAATGTGATGACCAACAGATCTTTTTGAAATGTAATAGTTGCAGGAAGGACCTTGGCTTCTTTAAGGATTCCCTCAGTCAGGCAGAACAACTGGTCCCTCAGTCAGACAGAACTACCAGTCCCTCAGTCAGACAGAACTACCGGTCCCTCAGTCAGACAGAACTACTGGTCCCTCAGTCAGACAGAACTACTGGTCCCTCAGTCAGACAGAGCTACTGGTCCCTCAGCCAGGCAGAACTACTGGTCCCTGGCTCACACTTTGAGAGTCATAGGGGCCTGCTCTTGACCTGCTCTTCACTGAAGAAAGTGCCATCCCACGGGACCCAGCATTTAGAAGACAGGAAATCACCCTGCTCCCTGCTCTGGTATCAAAAGGCTTTACATTAGGAACCAGCTGGACACCAGTTTGTCACTTAAAATGCCACATAAAACAGCTACTAATACTGGGGCACGAGCAGGAGCGGATCCAGGGCAGCAAAGCCAGAAGGAAAAGGACCTGGACACAGTCACATAATTTCGTTTCTACCAATGGATTACTCTTACGCAAGCAGGCCACCCTATCCGCTCCCTCCTGCTAGTAGCACACATAAATCCTTAAAAGGTGTAGATGCAGGAGGAGGACATGTAATGGAGATTATGAATTGAGCCATGACTGAGACTTTAATCAGCAGATTGATCTACAGGTACATCTGGACAAGGCATAACAGTTTTAACCACAGTGGGGGGAAAACAAACAAACAAACAAACAAACATGAGTTGGGCAACTCTCAGAATTAATGAGAGTTTCACGTTTCCACACATCGGCATTATCTGGCGCTGGGTAGAAATGCAAATCCTGGGGCTGGACCTATTCACGGACTGATTGAATGTAAAAGGCTGGAGTGGGGCCCCAACATCTGTGTATTAATAAGCCTTCCAGGTGATCTTGATGCACCCACAATGTGAGAGCCACTGGCTTCTGAACTGATCCAAAATGACCAACAGCTGAATTAAAGTGAAGACAATGAGGAAGAAAACCGGTTCAGAGCTATTGAGGAGACAAAAGAAATAAGACTAGACTATTGGTCTGGGAGACTGTGAATGTTCTTGTTATGTTCGTAACGACTGAATGGTGAGATAATCAGTTAAAATGCACAGAAGAGTAGGCTTGGGTGGGCTCTCAGGTGGAAAATAATTCAGTTTCATGCACAATGGGTTTGGGGGCCCCAAAGGACATCCACAAGAAGATGCCCCGTGGGTGGCATAATAAATGAGCCTGCCGCTCCAGAGAAGTGTTCAAGGGTGAGGGCCAAGGTTGAGGCGTCATCAGCAAGTGGAAGAGAGGTAACCACCCTGGGGTGCATAAAAGAGCCTGGAGCAGAAGTCCTCATCCTGTTTTTCTAGCCATGGCATATGATGCATGATGTTCATATAAGACTCACTCCAAGGAACATATCCTGATAGTCATGGAATGGAAACCACACACACAGCTAAGTAATGCCAAGAGGTCCCAGGTTTCTATATGCCATCCAGAAAAGAAAAGCATTGTATTACTAAGAAACGCTAAGTGAAATGATCTATTTAACATTCTAGAAATGGCTAAGCTAATATAGGGATACTATTCGTTTAAAGACTACATCTA